TTACCTGGCAGAGGGGCGGTCCAGGTGACGGGGTCCACCAGGTTCTCCACCACCACCCTCAGCACTGTCTCGGAGGCACGCCAAGCTGGGTCCACGTGAGACGTACTGACGGGCCCGAGAGCGCCTGGGCCCTCTGAGACGGAGACAAGGACAACATGTGAGACATGGTTGGAGGACAGAAGCTAACATATGTTAACAGATGCAACAGGATGGAGTCTTTACCTCGCTGGTTGGGGGAGTTGGGTCCGTTTTCAGCTCCTTGTGGTTGGAGAACTGGAGTAGGACCGGGTGGTGTCTGATGATGGGCATCACCGTGAGTTAATAACCCACCATTATTTCTGAGCCGCTTCCTCCAGTTCATCTCTAAGAAGGCCTGAGGACACAGGAGACAGGAGAGAGGGGAGAGGAGACAGGGGACAGTTCAGATATCACGTCCACTACACCCTGTAACCCCCCTGGTTCAGTAGTTCCCAGTCCTAGACCTGGTTCTTGGCCTTGAGCCATAAGCAGGTTTGGACACAGTCTCCGAAGGGCAGACCCAGGCTGATTGGACCTCGGCTCATGTGATGTCGTTTAGGGAGCTTGCGGGATGTGGATGACCCTGGACCGCGCCCCGGGATACAAACTCTTATGTCACACCTTTGAACTTCTTGCTGTCGTTTTCCATTGGCTACAGAGGAGAGGGGGAGGATTTAAATTGATGTGGTCAGTCTATATGGTCCTGTCATTCAGCAGTTCAACTGGTTGGTTCCTGACTCCTGCCTCAGGTTCTACCTTGGTCCTCAGATTCGGTCGTCACAGACTTAACGCGGTCAGACTGCGGCCCTCGTGAAGACCTTGTTAGTTAGTTCGTCAGATTACAGACATGTGTGAACTGTATCCAGTATTAGAAATTAATGTTAATGAGTTGAAAATCCCAAGTGATGTTAAATCTTTCATGTTTCATTATTTAATTATCTGTTAGTTTGATTTAAATAAATCAAACAACTTCTTAAACTGACTGACTGGACCTCCAGCTAATTTATAAACAGAGAAATCCACACACCTGTGGAGTTAAAAGTGTGAAGTCGGTGTATTATCAAACATGAAAGCTGTCAGTGTTTTCTACACACTGACAGGAACAGAGAAATATTTGATTATTTATATGATTTGCTGTCAACACGGTGTCAAATTTAAAATACAGTCATTCTTTGAATTAGCTTGTGATGATGTGTCCAGTTTATAAACGGTTAGAATATGAATGTTGGTGGAGAGGAGAGTCCACATCAGAAACTCAACATTAAAACAAAAATTCACATAAAAATTGATTCAGAAAAACATCTTTGTGTCTGTTCTTCAGCTGATCAGGTTTTCTCACTCCTCACACAGCTGGTGTCTTGTCATGTGACTTTCTGTTGTCCCAGTATGCCAGGTGTGCGTGCCATCGTTCCATTGGCGACAGTAAAAGTAACATCTGACATTTACACACAGTTAAAGCTGCATGCTCTGACCTGTGGTGCTCATGCATAACGGCCGTTGGAGTACGCTGGAAGAAAGTTCGTCAGATCCTCTCTTGAAACAGAACACAGCGGTCAGACTCTCCACCACACACACCACACAACACACACCACACACACACACACACACACACACAACACACACACACACACACCACACCACACACACACACACACACACACACACACACACACACACCTGCGTGAAGGCTTGATAACGTCTCTGCTCTGATTCAATCAACCCCTGATCCAGGCTGAGGCTTAGACTCACTCGCAGTGTACTGACATTGAGTGAACTCACGAGGAGTGTTGTGCTTGTCTGTTGTCATTAACAGTGAACAAGTTTTGAGTTTAAAATGTGAAGAAATGAACATGTGCAGTAAACACATCACAGAGGAGACAAGAAACGCCATGAATTAGAAAAAGTCATTTCTTTACACAGGCCATGTACGCAGGGTTTTCAAGGTGCAGCAACCTTGAAACAAATGAACTGGAAAGAACTACAGCGTTTTGGTGTCGTGCTGCAAGCCTCTCACACACAGACAAGCACAGAGCTGGAGAACCAGTCGAGCGAGGGAACTTTTTTACTGGAAGCTGACAACAACTACAGTCGTAGGCTCTGAGTGTGAGTGTCATCACAACGTTATGAGTAAAACAGCTCCCCCAGAGTGTTACCTGCAGTGGAGGAGGAGGACGGAGGAGATTGACCTATAGTGACCTTCCGTCCTGGTTCTTCAGTCAGCTTCACTCAGCTAAACTGTAATGAACACTTCAGTATTTGTTTATTTATCGCCCAGTCACATCGTTCATGGCAGTATGAACAGTGTCATCGTAGGATTTTCGTCATTGTCGTGAGGGGACAGATGTGATCTGATGGAGACATGATGTGACGAACATGTTTCACTGCTACTGCAGACAATTAACAATGAATGGACATTTAATCAGCTGGAGTGTTCAGCTATTAAATCATGATGTTAATTAGAGCGGAACAATTAATCTAAATATCACTGGAATCACCAATATGCACCAATGAAATATGAAAAATCAGAGGGCTGCAAGTTTCTTAATAAAATATGCAGTAAAATGAGTCCAACATAAATGACTCATTTTTGGTGCCACAGAGACGGATCCTGTTTCTCAGATGTGGAACATGTTCGTCTGGTCAGATCATTTTTAGATTTTTTCATCCCACTATAATCATGACTCATATCACTATATCTATTAATTTTCTTAGATTCAGACAAGAGGCCTGCAGTGATGCGTTTATGAGACCCAGTAAATATTCGCATCAGTACTACTGACTCAAGCGAGAGAGCCCCCCCCATGCCAGACCAAAGGACCCATTTCATCTGGTGTGTGTGTTGTGTGTGTGTGTGTGTTGTGTGTGTGTGTGTGTGTGTGGTTGTGTGTGTGTGTGTGTGTTGTCAGAGTGAAGGGAACATGTTTCATGTTGTTTACCATGGCAGCCACCAGGTGTCACATGTACTACAAAGGAGAACTGAATCTAAAACCTGGAACTTATCTGACTGGTGTAAACACCAGTTCAGTCTGAAACACCATTGTCAGCTCAACCCCCCTCCCCCCTCCCCTCTCCTCCCCCTCCTCCCCCAAGCAAGGCGGCCGGGGGTTGAATTCCTGTTGAGAGGCTCAAGAAAACCAGATTAGACAAACAGGCTG